GGAAAAGGTCAGATAATGTGATGTCAGGAAAATGAACCCTTAGATGTGTATTTTAATGTTTTTTTCTTTCATGCATGTGTTTCTAACACATTTATAAGATTATCTCTTTGTTGCTTTGTATGTCCCTCCCCCACAGTATAACCCCTGCTTTCACTATATTTGATGTCAGTATAACTTGTGGAGGAGATGGGGAAAAACCAGTTGTTTAAGGATACAGGTGGACCTGTTGCAACAATGAGAAGTACAAGTTGTCATGTCCAAAACGAGCTTTACAACGTTAGTGCGGGGGGGGGGGGGGGGGGGAAGGAGAAGGATTGGGATTAGGGGGAGAGGGGGGAGGCTGGGAAGGGATGTGAAGGGTAAACAAAGGAGGAGGCTGCAATGCTTGGTAAGAAATGTACGCATTATCCTGCCCAAGTAACTGTAACTCCTCTGTACAGTATGTTCACAAATAAAATTAAATTAAATTTAAAAAGAAAAATAACTGTATATTTGTATCTTAGGAGCTAAAATACCTGTATGCTGGCTTATTTTATTTTGTCAAGGTATTGGTACCTTGGGATTAGAAAAAAATCATTCACAATTATTAAGTGAATTCCTTAGCCCGCAAACATTTTGAGAAACATAGGAAAAGAAGGCATAGCAAAGAAACCTAGGAAGTATAAAAATGTTGATCATAGTCCAAAAAATTTATAAATGAACAAATGAAATTTCTAAATGACTTGTGGGGACAGTACTGGGTTTGAACTCAGAGCCTTGCATATATTATATACAGCAGGCAAAAGGACTAAGCCATGCCTTCAGGTCTTTTTTTTTTCTCTCTCTCTCTCTCTCTCCCCCCCCACCTCTCTCTCATACATATATATTTGAGATAGGTAGGTTTGCCCTGAGCCTTTGATTCACATATGTTAGACTTGCTGTAATAGTGATAATAAGTACATGCCACTGGGTCCAGCTCTAGATTGAGAAAAGGGGTCTTTTGGCCTTTTTCTTTTTTTCTTAATGCCCAAGCTAGTCTTGAACCACCCTGATCTCAGACTCCTAAGTGATGATAGGTATGAGCCACCAGCACTGTACTTACTAAGTTTTCTAAAGACAATCCACCAGCACTTTACTTACTACCTTTTCTAAAAACAATTTCTGATTACAGATAGAGGTAATCAAAAAGCTAGGGTTTGTATCATCAAAGAAGATTTGAATCGCAAATGACTTATGATTCCTTTTCAAATCTCACTCTGACTTGATGCCTCGTTACGTGAAATAATCAGAAGGATTATTATTACTGAATAAAGGACCTCGCAAATGATTGGGTTACAAGCTTATTCTTGTTCCTAACTTTGGCTTACATGTTATCAGTGTTATATAAGAAGCCACGTACACACTCAGCAGTGGACACACTTGTTAACATGCAGTCCTCCCCTTTCCTGTTCACCAGTCTGCACTGCAGCGTGGTCGAGCAGGGGAGGACCTCTCTACTAGGGCACCTTCCACCTGCTCTGGGCTTGGACAAGGAAATTTGGAGGAAAATTGTAAACAGGTAGATCGGAAACTATGTACTAATTTCAACCAACATATCTCATCATTTGCACTTCAGATTAATATCAGTTTCCCTTGTGAAAACACAGGGAAAGTTTGGGAGAAAATTAATACACTTCTGTGTGAGTGTGTGTGTGGGCCTGTGTCAATGTTGATATTAATGATACATTTTATGATTAACCACCTTCCCACTGGAATGATTGTGTTGAGTATAGACCACCACCAGATTTTAATGAAATAGGAAACTCTGAACATTTGGGGATATCTTGTCTTTGGTGATTTGGTGAAGCAGCTTTAATGACAACCTCAAAAGGAAGCAGTAAGAATTCCACATATAATATCAACACGGGGGCATTTGTCAAAGCGTTACTTAAGCAAAGAAGGTTACCTTGTTGTAAGGTGTATACCTTTTATACCTTTAATTCAGTGGCTGGCTCTAGGAGCTCTCTTCAGATAGTCAGACTTGAAGAACCTTTCATCCTACTCCATCCACTGCCAAGTTGTACTGGAAGGTTGTGAATGAGAATCATTTCCCTTTAAGCTGCCAATTGACTTTAGGTCACCCAAGAATTGTTTGTAAGAAGAGATCCTGCCTCCATTTGAGACCATAGTGCAATGGTACATACAAAAGCAATGACTTTCTCCATTTCAAACATGAACTGAGCCTCATCCTTTTTATAAATACATGCTTCAACGAGCTCCATATCTGGAATTATCCTTTGGAGACAAGGTCTGGCTATGTAGCCCACACTGCCCTAGAACTCCAACCTATGTAACCCAGGATGGCCTCAAACTTGAAATCCTCCTGCCTTAGGCTCTTATGTCCTGGGACTCAGATGTTAACCACCATACCTAGCTAAGACTTATTTCTTTTTATGAGATCATGTTGATGGTAGTGATAGATATAATCTACATGTCTCCATTCTTGTATTCTAATATTTTGATTTCTCACTAACTCAGAAACTATAAATAAAATGCTTGAGGGCCAAAACGGTCTCATTCCTTATAAAACTTTGACGTACAATTTATTATTCTACAAGAAATGTACTCATTACCTTATGTATGTAACTGATACCTCTCTGTACATCACCTTGACAATAAAAATAAAAAATAAAAAATTTTAAAGGAATGTACTTGAATATAGGCAATACTGAGTTGAACTCAAGGCCTTGCACTGGTACTCTATCAATTGAGCTCTGTCCCTAGCCTGTTTTTGCTTTAGTTCCTTTTCAGATAGGATCTTATACGTATGCCTGGACTGGTTTGGGCAGTGATCTTTCTATTTCTACTTCCCATGTAGCTGGGATGACAGCCAGGTACCAGTGCATCTAGCTATTTTTTCCCTACTCTAGCCTTGAATCACAACCCTCTCAATCTTTGCCTTGTGTAGTTAGGATTCCAATGAATCATGATGCCTGATAACATTTTGAAAAATGTAAAAAGTAATCATATTTTTATATGTAAAATATACACTCATGCAACTATATTTGTCTAACTAGTTATAGTTTCAAATTTTGTGCATTCTGATTTCTTATTTAAAAATCACCATTGGGATTATTGAGAAAAATCTAGTTCGTGGGTGAGAAGTTAAAAGTTAGTGGGTCAGTTTCGTCTGCCTTCCTTGCAACACTCCATATTAAAAGATCTTGCTAATTTTATAATTTGCTTCATGAAGAGCTTCCAGTTAGTTTGTAGTGTTATATTATATATCATTCTGGAAAGAAATCAAATCTTTTAAAGACAATGGCACCTTTCACAAACAAAAAGAATCAGTACACTGTTTTAAGAACACTGCATTATGTTTTATAATTTTCAAAATGCCATGCTCCATCCACCATCCACATGCACCTTAGCACATATGCTTTCTTAGTAAATGGCAGCATAGCTAGAGTCTTGTCTTCATCTGTCTTCTTGTCGTGTAGTTTTTCCTGCATGTGGTTTTTCTAACATCTAATGAAATGGTTTTTAAAGTTTCTTTGCATGATTTTTGGAATTTGTTCTGTTACATAAATCTTATTATCAGTACATTAAATTAGTCATGACATAGATTTTCCTTCAGCTTATGACACAGGTATTTCAATAATGAAATACTGAAAAGTATATATGAGCCCAGTCAATAATGATTTTGTTTCCAGTGTCATAGAAGTACACTGACCCTGTCATTTAATTGGTAAGGAAAGGCTAATGACTATATTTGCCCCATACTTTCCTTAATGAATGCTTTTGAAATGCTTAAAAAGTAATTTTTTTAAGATTCCATACTGACCATCAGTCTACCGATATTTTTTAATTTGGGCCTTTGAATGTTTTTCTCCTCCTCCATGCATAATAATAGTAGTTATGTCCTAACTGGACCTAGCATGACTCTTAACATTGTAAAAAGCATTGAGACATTTTGTGATGTTTACTTTTAAAAACATTCTTGGGAAGCACATTTTTATAATATTCTATGTTATGAAAAAATATTCCGAGTCATTATTGCAATTTTATAAATTACAGTTTTTGAAAGGACTTATGCTTTGAAGTACAAAGGAAAGATGACTTCACAGAAGTAGTTTTTTGGAATCTTTTCCTTCCTCTTAGAAGCTAATAAGAAATGCCAATTTGTGTTTATGGAACTTTTCTTTGGGCTTAACTTTTGTAAATTTAAAACTTTGCAGTTGATTCCTCGTATGTTGTTTTTGGGCTCGACTGCCTACTGCCAACCCAGAGCCATAGGGAAGTTGCCTACTGGAGACTTCCTTGGCTACTCTGTTTCGGCTGTCCCAACTGCCGCTTCACTACAAATGGCCCAGAAGTATGTTGTCTTAGTTCATAAAGAAATATAAAATGCTTCCTAAAAAGCAGAAGAGAACGTTTTAAAATTACACCATTAAGTATCCAGTTTGCCTCCCCAGTCTCTCTTCTGAGAGACTGATTTGTTTCGCTGGTTATTTTGGGGATGGAGTTTCAAGGACTTTTCTGCTTGGACTGGTCTCTCCCCTCCATCCTCTGGATCTCTGCTTCCTAAGTAGCTAGGATTGCAAGCGTGATCCAGAGTTGAGCAACTTTTTATAGTATTTTATAGAACAACTTTTTATATTATGGGGTAAGGAAAAGAAATTTTCTCAGGTGACCCAAAAGAAACATATTTAGAAACTGTGTCTTTGCAGAGTACATCATAGGCTTTCCAGTTCTAACTTCTTAAAACTTAGAGCTAACAAGCTTTTTGAATTTTGTTTTTGTTTTTGTTTTCTTTGTTAACCAGCTTCCTTCCTTGTGCCAACAAACCAGGGATTTATTACTAGTGTGCTGTGGGAACCCAAAACAGGGGAGTAAAGTAGAACCAGGCTTGCTTTCCTAATAAAGTCAGGCCATTTGTCAGGCTGATGATATTTTCTCTAAATTTTATGTATACAAAATGTTTTCTTAGTAGAACATTTATGAAGACGTGCTAATGTATTAATCACGGTTTCTTTTCCTAGGCTGCACAAATTGTGCTAATCTCTCTGTTTGAATTGAACACTCCTGAATTTACCATGTTACTTGGTGCCTTGCCCAAAACATTCCAGGATGGTGCCACCAAACTCCTGCATAACCACCTCAAGAACTCCAGTAACACCAGTGTGGTGAGTGCTCTGCCTGTGGCTGGTGTCTCTGTGTTGGTTATCACCTCTGTGTCCCTTATCCAGCACTGGCACTGCTGGAATAGCCAGCTTGCTTGCTTGGTCAGCTTGTGGGCATACCAAGGGCAGGCCCATGAATGAATGAACCTACTACTCATATATGGCCTTTTTCTTAGGGTAGTAAAGTTGGGTTGGGTTGTTAAGTCAGTTCAGTGTATACTATATGATTTCATTACTCACTCATTTGATACTGTCTTTATTTTTTTAATACTATAAATATGTCATGCTCAATTGTGCCTGTGCACAGCTAACCAGTTATTCAGCTTCAGAAATACCTCCATGACAATTTTAAGACACTATTTTTAATTAACCACTATTAATCTGGAAGTAGAGGTGTGGCTTAAGTGATAAAGCACCAGCCTTGAGCAGAAAAGGCCAGGTGGGAGCCTGAGGCTCTAAATTCAAATCCTAGTAGTGATATGTATGTGTACACACACACACACACACACACACACTAATGACTAGTTGGAGGAGGGGAGAAACAAAATGTTATAATGCATAGATTCTGGTTACATGTAGGGTAATTGATCAAAGGAAGAATAAAGTTGTATTCTGTACAAAGCCACTGGGTAATAGTGCCTACTCTGCCTTTGCATCAGGGATCTCCAAGCAATACCATTGGCAGGACACCTTCCCGACATCCCAGCAGCAGGACCAGCCCCTTGACCTCACCTACCAACTGTTCCCATGGGGGACTGTCTCCCAGGTAAGCAGCTCACTTCCACCAACATGAAAAAACTGAAATACACAATGTCTCTGAGTCTATTTCTAGGTTGTCACACTAAGAATGATACCAGCAAAGATACTGAAAAACAAAGGACTATCGATTCCAGTCCTCACTCAGTTGTAATTGTATAATCTTGAGGTTATGATGAAATGAAAAGTTTGTACTGAATGTTCTTTTTTGGTTCTTCTAGCTCCAAATACTCTAGGACCTTACAGAATTTAAAACAAGCTTTCGTTATGGTGGTATTTGCCTATAATCCCAGTACTTGGAAGTCAGAGAGATAGGATTGTAGTTCAAACCTAGGTTCTTCAGACACATTCCAGGCAAGCCTGGGCTATATAACAAGGTCCTCTCTAAACATAAAGGATAAAGAATTTTTTTTTTTAATTTTAGACTATTGCCAGACGCTGGTGGCTCACATCTGTAATCCTAAATACTCAGAAGGCTGAGATCTGAGGATCACAGTTTGAATCTAGCCGGGGCAGGAAAATCTGTGAGACTCTTATCTCCAATTAACTACCCCCAAATTGGAAGTGGAGTTGTGGTTCAAAGTGGTAGAGTGCTAGCCTTGAGCAAAAAGGCTCAGCAACAGTGCCCAGGCCCTGAGTTTGTTCAAGCACCACAACTGACCCTCTCCCCACAAAAACAAAAATTAAGACTTAATGTTTACTGTTAGTACTGCTTTGCACAGAACCCATGAGGTTGTTCTCCAAGGAATAAGAGAACATGACGATATTTACTTAAGCATCTAAAAAACCTTCAATAGTCAATTGCTCCACCCAAGTCTGGGGTGGTTTTTCAGCCAAGCAGCTATTCCTAAGAGAGTTACCATCCTGTTTAAAGCAGAATGTTGCTCTGAAAGACTGTGATTTAGAATCTGGGTATTAATTTGATCAATATATTCAGATTCATGTTGGAATCATGAACATTGGCCATATAGAACCTAGGGTAGTGGTGCATCAAAAGAGAAAATGCTTGTAGAAAGAGAAAGGTGCCAGTAGCTCACACCTGTATCCTAGCCACTCAGGAGGCTAAGATCAGGGGATTGTGGTTTAAAGCCAACCCTGGCAGGGAAGTCTATGAGACTCCTACTTCCAATAAACTGCCAAAAAAAAGCTGGAAGTTGAACTGTGGTTTAGGTGTTTGGGCAATAGCCTTGAGCCAAAGAGGCTCAGGGGTAGAGCACAGGCCCTAAGTTCATGCCCCAGGACAGGCACACATACACACAAAGAAAAAGTGCATTGTCTAGAGATCTTTAGATAACATTTGTCCATTTACCAGTGCCATTAGAATCATGATGGTGACTTTAGTGACTCCTTCACATAGGGTGACATCATCTGGCCCCACTCAGAGAAGTAGCTTTATAGGCAGCATTTTTTAGACAACTAAGAGTCCTTCATGCTGTATTTTGTCTATAAGCAGGCCATTAACAATTAACTCACTAGCAGTGAGTTTTAAAAGCCAGGGGCCTTTTTTATTCTGAGGGTTACTGACATCAAGTTCTTAAAAAACAACAAAAATACTTCAGGTGTACAATTTCCCTATTTAGGTTTATGTACTTTTACTAGGAAGATATCAAAACATAAGTGCTTTTAAATGTAGATTTATTTTTCAAATTAGATGAAGTCTCACACTCCTTTTTTCTTTTTGTTTTTGATGCCAGTCCTGGGGCTTGAATTCAGGTCCTGGGAGCTGTCCCTGAGTTTTTTTGCTTAAGGCTAGCACTCTATTATTACTTGAGCCACATCTCCACTTCTAGCTTTTTTGGTGATTAATTGGAGAGTTTCAGGGACATTGCTCTTTGAGCTGGCTTTGAACTATGATCCTCAGACATCAGCCTCCTGAGGCATGAGCTACTAGTACCCAGATTTCTTTTCTTTTTTTTTTTTTTTTGGTTGTGGGGCTTGAACTCAGGGTCCAGAAACTGTCTAGGAGTCCCTGAGCCTCTCTGTGTTCAATGCTAGTTAGTATATTGCTTGAGCCCCTTGAGATAGGAGTCTCACAGGGACTTTTCTGCCCAGGCTGACTTTGAACCATGATCCTCAGATCTCAGCCTAGGTAGCTAGGATTGCAGGTATAAGTCATCAGTGCCCAGCTCTGATCTTTTAACTCTTAGGATTACATAATTTTCTACATATTTGTAGAAAAATTAAAGAGATTAATTTTTTCAGTATTAAGTCCACATATTTTCTTGTGGATAAATTCTTCCTTAGAGAATTAGTTAACATAGTTCTTTTTTAAAAGAAAGAAAGCCTCTCTATATTGCTTAAATAATCAGATGATCTGAGCCAACGTGAGCTCAACAGGAGAAATTGTTTCCTGGTGAAAATAAGCAACAACTACATCATTGGGAAACTGTTTGCTTTTGAACAGAAAAACTGTAAAAGAAATAGCTTCTTACCTTAGGGAGGAGAATTGACTACATTGCCCTCTTCTAAGGAGATATTAAACAGCTCACAGCACAAGGCATTTTCTGAGCAGTTGTTTTTAAATCATCTTGACCATATGGTATTAGCTTTTTATTTGTAAGAAAGAGGAAAGCTTAGGACCATTTTTTAACTTATTTTTCATCCAATTCTGAGTATAAAAATGAGCTAGGGTGTTTTGTTTGTTTTTTTACTCACAAATTCTCCACTTGGTTCATGGAAGTGACAAGAAGTGTTCCAAAATGGCAAACAACTTTGATCATTTTAAATTTCACTAGTAAGGACTCCTCCTGTCAATGCAATAGTATGTAAGACACCATCAGTAAATGGTTAAACTTTGTGAAATATTCCATTAATCACATTTCCACAGGGAAGGATGCCTGTTAACAACAACTGATAAACAGTTACTACTTGGATTTGAGTAAAGATTTATGAAGTAGAGTTTTTCGTTGTTAACACATGTTTATATTGTAGCTCATTTTACCCTGTGTGATTGATTTTATGGTAAGTGAGCAATGGAATTGCACTTGCAAAAGAATTCCACAGTCATGTCCAGTCTGCAGTATGTTCTAGGCATGTGAACCATGTAGCAGAATGGCACTGCACAGGTCACCTTTGGTCCTCTAGTAAAGGTATTGTAGGTAGTTTTTCATTTCTCCTCCCAAAGGATCAAGAACATTCTTAGAATCAAGGCTGGGGGGTTAACAGGACCCACATTCATAGGTGGGGTATCAGACCACCAGAAGGTCCCCCATGTAAAGTATCACTGTGTTCTTGTATCCCTGAACCCATCACAGTAGAGCAATGGAAGACAGTCTTCAGACCCTCCATAGCACAGTATTTCTCATTTCCATATCTTGTTTCCCTTATGAAATGGGGCCATACCAGTGCTCAGGGGGAAGCTAGAATGCAGGGCTCCTGCTGTAAGAACTGTGCTAGTGGCAGGCAGGGCTGCTATGGACTCTCCAGGTTCTTGCTCCATCTTTTTTAATTGCAACAGAAGTTAGAACTTTCCCAAGGGGTTCTGCGAGCCCAAGTCAGCTAGTAACATTGTGAAGTGCACACAGACACCTGTATTCCCAAGTGCATTTTATTCTCCTATCAAGAGGAGATCCAAGCAGAGAAGTATAGTGCATTTTTTTTGTTGTTGCTATTTTTTTTTTCCGTTTGAGCTGGCCAACTGAGACTTAATGCCCTCCTCCACCCCTCCAGTGGTATTGATATTCGTTGAGAAGAATATTAATTCTCTGAACTCTGTCTGATTGGATCCCAACTTCAAAAGCATTTTGTCTCTCATTAGAGTTTGTTGTCAGAATAGTGTGGTCTCTGAATCTCCCTGTTTAGTCCCTCTGGTCCCATTTGAATTGATGCCCCATAATTCTTCCCTTTTTTTTTTTTTTTTCTTTCCTGAAAGAACTGAGTTATCTAAAACTGAGAGTCCATATTTATTACAAGTCCTTATATCTTGCTTCCCAACTCTTGACAGGCAGATAGATACCCATACTCAGGTACACAAATTCACATACACTGACTGGGAATCTCACATGACTTTTAAGCAGTAAACTCATCTTATAATTGAATGAGAATCAAATTGTAAAACAAAATTTGTCCTTTTACTCTGTATGATGAAGTATTAATTTTGCCCCATTTACTTATGATAGAACTTAGTCAGGAAAGAGGAGACTCTAAGACACTTATGATGTAGCATCTTCCTCTTCCCCTCCCCTTTGCCTCTGTGTTTCTTTCTCTGATTTTCCTCTTCTGATCACTGCAGTCGGTTGTGGGGTTGGAGTGCCGATGGGCTATCGAAGCACCCACCTCCCTTTTCTCAGCCTAACTCCATTCCCACCGCTCCCTCCCACAAGACTCTCAGGCGCTCTTACTCTCCCAGGTAACAAGCTACCTGTTAAACTTGTCAGAGGTGTCACAATATTACTACTTTTCCAAGGTCGTCTCGGGTCTTTTGGAAAGCCTCTGAGCTCCTCCAGTGTAGTCACTGTCTCCACTTAGCCTCACAGAAGTGGATCCTGGCTGAAAAGTGTGCACAGTACACAGGAGTATGGTTATTGGCATATCTCGGGGACTGTGACCAGATCTGTCACCATCTACTCAAGTCTTTTGGCTAGAGCGATGCTCAGCCCCCAGAAGAAGCTCAGGAAATTGGTTACATCAAGGGAAGCAGTAGTGGGAGGAACTTCCTCCAGCTGCTTCTTAGATGCAGACAGTATTCTAACAAGTACATAGACCTGCCCTTCCTGGGGCTGCTTGTGTAACTGTCAGTCCTGAGGTGTCTACTGGGACATGTCTCATAGTGATAGTCTGAGCATACATACTTCTAGACAGAAGAGTGGGCAGGCCTTCTCAATGTCCTGCTGTGGGTATTGGGGAAGCTATTGGCTCTGCTTGGCTATGAACTTTTTAGAGTCTAGAAGGAAGCTGGGTGCCAGTGGCTCATGCCTGTAATCCTAGGTACTCAAGAGGCTGAGATCTATGGATTGTGGTTCAAAGCCAGCCTGGGCAGAAAATCTGTAAGAGTTATTTCCAATTAACCACCAAAAATCCAGAAGTGGAGGTATGGCAAGCCCTGAGTTCAGGCCCAGGGATTGAAAAAAATGTCTTGAAGAAGGTGAGCTTCCCTTGGGTGTTAAAGCAAACATGGTGTCTGTGGTGCTGCGAGGATACCACGTAGTACTCCAGACCCTACCTGTGTAAGGTCTCTGAGACGGTTTTGTGAAAGTCCAGAGATGAGAGGAGGCCATCCCTCGAAGCTTGTTGTCACATGACTAACGCATGGAACAATTCAGCTGTCTTGCTTTGCAAGAGGAGTTCGTAACCAGTTCTCTGATAGAGTATGTGTGGGGCCAAAAAGAAAAGAAGTACTCTGTAACCACAGACAGCTTCTGCAGAGTTACATGCCTACTTTTGTATTCTCAGCATACCAAAGCTGAACAGAATAAACACCTGCATGTGTTAACTCCTTTCTTTTCAAGCTCTGAAAGTAGCTTCTGAAGTATACAGAGAATCCTGTGATGAATGTTTGTAGATACGCAGTTAGGCAAGGCGGCAAGAAGAATGCTGCTATCTTCATTAAAGTTAACAAAATACATCACTGCCTTTTATTTTTTCTTTCTCTTGCTATGCCTCTGTGTGTAGATCAGTTAATTAATGGTTTCCCAATATGTCACGTTGGATGCCTTAACACACATGGAGTCTCACCCCTGCTAGTGTTCCAGCCACCTCTCAGGACTGCTTCCCCAAAAAACATCCCAGACCTAGGATCATCTTTCCCAAAGTACTCAATAACCTGTGTTTCCCCAACTCACTAGTGGCTAACGTTACTCATACTTCTACAGGCATCAGAGGGAGGAGGTGCTGACTAGAGACTGCCCATCTCATGCTGTCAGCCAAAACCCTGTTGATTTCCCAACATGACATTCTCCTCTTCTGCTACTAGAGTCCTTATCCTCCAAAATAACGAAGAGAAAAGCCTCAGGCAGCAGACTTATTTTTTTCCCTGATGCTTTTTTTCTTAGTGATCTGACTCCAAGCTCTTCTCATCACTACATGGTCCTCTGTAGAGCTGCATTGAGTGGCATAACCTGACTGTAGATCATGACTGTTGCTGATTGGGTAACTTTTCCTAATCGAAAGAACCCCAAGGAAGCCCTTTGGGTGTCTACTCACAGTGTTTACAAGTGATCAGGACATGGCCTTTAACCCAGAGGATTATGTCAGGGGATTGTCTTCCAATTTGAAATAACAGACTGTGGTTGTGGTACAGGTGCCAGATAAGGTTTGTCTAGCAAAGACTCTTCTCAGCCAGCTTTTAGGGCCTCCTGGCTGCTTCCTCTGTACTGTTCCCCAAGATGCAGAGGCATTCTATCCAATGATAACCTCATGGGAAACTCCTTTGCCCTAAGCAGTAAGGGCTCAGAATTATTGATTTGAAAAAAGATAACTGAAGCCAACATATTCAAACAAAAGAGTAACCTTATTTCCTAGCAGGGGACAGTGCTTATGTCCCACCTGGAGCTCACAATTTCAGCTTCATACCAATGAGACACTTTACTTGAGACCAAAAAGGAGGAGTCCAAAAGGATTATCGCCTCACATTGTACTTGCATGCACACTGCTCCTGAACTGGCAGGATTCTTTATTATCTTCAAAAGAGGCTATTGGATGGTCAAGTTAATTGAACTGAAATGAAATATTTCAAGGAAGTTGAGATTGAGAATCGTGAGATGAAAGCCAACATTCTCTAAAGCGACACATGGAACGTAATATTGTGACATCCCTTAAAAAACTCAACGTCTGCCAGACTGCCTCTTGTCCATTCATCATTCTTTCAGTTGTTTTGTTTTGTTTTTTACTTTTGCATGGGGTATGCTGTTATTTTTGGTGGTTGTGATTAAAAGCATTTTAAGGCCTTTTTTACATCTTGTATATTTATCTCTTGTTTTGTTTGAGTCAATACTCAATCTTTGTATATAAAATCAGTGTACTGCCCAGATGTATAAATGCCTTTTTCCATACATATGCTGGTATTGCAGAGTTCCTAGGAAAGAGGTGGGAGCATCTTTGCCCCTTAGATGTACTTACTACATATCTGGGGTGTTGCCTATAAACTCAGAACAGAAGGAAATCTTGAGTTCCACTTCAGTTCCTTACTCCTCATCCTGTTGTTGTATAAATGGGATTTCAGCTGCAGACATGTTCAAGGTTCACATTCCTTTTCATTGGGAGCCAGAGCCAGTATTTGAGTTGGCACATATTTCTGTGAACTTTTCACATACAGTTAGGGCATGTCTGCCCCCCTTCCTGGATTGTATTTTAAAAGGTAGCTATGCCTGGGCTAGTTGAGCAGTTTTAGACAAGTAGCTTTCATTCTGAATAAGTTTGTCTTGTGCTCCTGCAGAGCCTAACCAACTCTTGAAGACACCTAGACCATTGTACCTTCAGATAACAAAGATCCCACCATTCCAAGTGATACCTCTCTAAATCTGTGTGTGTGTGTGTTTTTGTGTGTGTGCATGGGCACACATGTACACATGTGCTGTTCTGAGGCTTGACCTTAGGGTCTGGGCATTGTCCTTGAGCTTTTTAGATTAAGGCTAGTCATCTGCCACTTGAACTGCAGCTCTACTACTGGCTTTCCTACCTAGGCTGGCTTTAAACCATGAGCCACTAGTTCCCAGCTTAAATATGTCTTTTTTCAAGAGAAGGAAAGAACTTAATAAATTAATCTTAATTGTGAGAGACTTCTTGTACATTGCACAAGATTAATTGTGTTATTGCAATTAAGAAAGATCATTGCCAGTAGGTTTCTTTTAATTAACAGAAAGATTGATTTATCTCTACACATAGCCATTGGTTTTTTGGGATGTACCTAGCAATTCTCAGTATAGCTCAGGACTTCCTGCAAGTTACATTAGACTAACTCATAAGATATTTTCTTGAATACTTACTTAAAACAAGTGAAATTTAATTTTTTTATTACTTCTCCTTGGTTGACTGTTATATCATGTTTTGCTTTCTTTGTAGTAGTATGTCCATCCTGTGCTTTGCTGTGTGTTTTGTTAAGGGACAGGTATAGCTTTTGCTCCCAGAATCCTTTCTGTTTCAGTGTACTTTTTAGACATCTAAAGGACACTTCCTTGTATACTGCATTATACCAAAAGGCTTTCGTCTTTAACATATTTGATTCACTTCATGTTTTGCTATATCCAGTGTCTCAAAAGACAATTTACATCACTTTTCCATAAGGGAAAATATTTCTTTTAAGATATTCATCCAGGAATATAGATCTCATCTTTAAAGATCTGTGCTTTTAAGATCTGTTTTTATTTTACTATGTGAAATGGAATCATCTAGAAGAGTCTAATATCCATGACAAGGTCATAGGTTAGGCTACATGAGAATTAGACTCAGGACTTTAGTGGCATGGATATGGCTTTGAGTCACAGTGTCACTTTGCTTTGGTTTTTAAAAATAGGTTCTTTCTCATTTTCTGGATTGGATACTGGCAAACCCTATCTTGTAAAGTTGCTTTCTTTGCTCTAAAGTGTGTTTGTAATACTTTGCTGTATTTCCAAAAGCCTTTTCCTCTTAAGTTTGTACATTTGGGACCAGTAACAACCAAACTACTTTTTTTCCATCATTAAAATAAGGAAATTACTTTCCACTTTCATCACCTCGTACATTCAGTCACCAATGTCACTCTTTGAGTTTTCACATTCTTGTGGTTATTGTTGTTTCCACTAGTTCTTGATTGCTGATGTAATATGTTTAAGGCCAGATTTGACAAGGAAGCTGTGTAAGTATACAATGCTGTAACAAAAGATTTCTGCTTTTCATTCCAGATCACCTAAAGAAACAAAAGTATAATGATACCTTATTCTGTAAATTACTAAATAGTTAATGGCCATATCTCAATTTTATGTAGATACCTCAATTTAAGAAATAAAATGTTTTTGATCTTTAGCATGCTGGACTATGATACAGAGAACCTGAACTCTGAAGAAATCTACAGTTCTCTGCGAGGAGTTACAGAAGCCATTGAAAAGTTTAGTTTCCGAAGTCAAGAGGATCTGAATGAACCAATTAAGCGAGATGGCAAAAAGGACTGTGATATTGTAAGTATTCTCAGGCTAACAGAGAACTGAGTGTCAAATAAATGATAGTTTCTAAGTCTTCTGAATCTGTCTGCTCTGGGGATGGTACATTTTATCCTGTACTTATATAATTGTTTTTTTTTTTTTTTAGTCCCAGGGCAATTTGACAGACTTTGATGACAATTTTTGTTTTTATTTTATTTTTTTTGTCGGTCATGGGGCTTGAACACTGGGCTTGAGCGCTGTCCCTCAGCTCTTCAGCTCAAAGCGAGCACTCTACCACTTGAGCTACAGCGCCATTTCCTTGACAGATTTTGAAAGTGTAACCCTCGGCCTGCTTTCATTTATGCTAAATATATTTTTGTTTCTGTGATGTGATAAATGGTAAGCCTGAACCAACCATCAGGTTGGCCTCTCCAGGAGCTCCAATCTTATGGGAGAGGCAGCAAATACACAGGATGGTGCAGTGGTTGTAGCCAGGGCTGTGGACACAGGGCCCTGACAGCCACTATGGTGCTCAGGAAGGATGGGCTGGAGAGTTGATGCTATCTTTTGACCTAGATTCTGAAGATGCTGTAGTCATAGAGTAGGTCCTATTAGAAGACCAAAGCAGGTAAGCTAATTATCTTTTGAGTTACTAGACATAACAATACATGGAGTGAATCAGATATGTTAAAGAGAATGAGTGAATCTTGTTGATGTTGAGGTTCAAGAGCAATTTCTAGAGACCAGCTCAGGAAAGGTACCTAGCTCACACCTTGACTTTATCCCAGGACAGTAGAGTCTGAAAGATTTTTAAGTAGGGAAATAACTAACTTTGTAGGAAATGGAATTTTATAAAACATGAGCAAATACAGAAGAGTTTGAAGTCTTCTGGGCTATGGAACTTGGTCTAATTCAATTCAGTGAAATAGTTTCTTGAAAGGAGAAAGTATATGATGATGGATTTAACTGTGAACATGTGTCTTTGGAGTTGCCAAGCTGGAGCTGAAGACAGTGACTGAGGCCACTTAGATCTGAGAGACATTAAGGAATGGCTTCCTGGTTAAAAAAAAAAAAAAAAAGGGAGAGTGAGTGAATGAAATCCCCAGGCACAGGACAGGGTAGGATAGAGTCCCGAGGGGGTAGCGGCACCAAGGCAGGACGACAGCTGGAGAGGAGTGTGGGGTCACAGAAGCTAAGGGAACCTTTCTTAGCAAGAACACTCCAGGCTAGAAGTAGACTGAAGGGCTCCATTAGCAATTTGTTCATTTGCTTGGTTGACTCTTTTACTGTCTGCACTAAATATTCTGTTAACCTAAATTATAGAAATACGCATTTACTTGGAAGTATTTTTTAATTTAATTTTATTGTCAAAGTGATACACAGAGGGGTTACAGTTACATACATAAGGTAGTGAGTACATTTCTTGTTGAACTTGTTACCCCCTCCCTCACTTTTCTACCACGTTCCCTCTCCCACCCCCCACTAAGTTGTACAATTCATTTCCAACATACTGTCTTGTGAGTATCACTGTTGCCTTGGTTCACCCTTTGTCCTTTGTCACCATTTCGTTGTTTCCCATCCCTAATTCAGATAAATGTATATACCATACCCAGGGCACCAAAATCAAATACAGTGACAACAGAAGCTAAACTATAGGGGAAAAAAACACAAAAGGAAACAGAAATCACATAGTACGTTTAAAACACCAGCAACAAAGAAAAATCTCTTGTTTCCATGTCTTAGAGTTCATTTTGTTGAGCATCTCGTATATATAGTCATAGCTATTGAGCTATTCTGCTCATCTGCTAGGACTATCCTAGACATATACTAATTATTACAAATGAGGGAAAGGCCAGGTGCAGGTGGCTCACGCCTGTAATCCTAGCTACTCAGGAGGCAGAGATCTGAGGATCGCAGTTCAAAGCCAGCCCGAGCAGGAAAGTCCTTGAAACTTTTATCTCCAATAAACCACCAGAAAACCAGAAGTGGCGCTGTAGCTCAAGTGGTAGAGCACTAGCCTTGAGCTGAAGAGCTGAGGGACAGCACTCAGGCCCAGAGTTCAAGCCCCACGACTGACCAAAAAAAAAAAAAAACAAATGAGGGAAAACATGGAATCTATCTTTCTTTGGGTCTGGCTTACTTCACTTAATATGGTTTTCTGCAAGTCTTTCTGTTACTTGAAAGTATTTTGATGTAGAATCAAGCCCACTGTTTGGGCTTTCATGTTTTTCTTCTTAAATAATGTGTACAATCTATAATTTTCCAAATTTGGTTCCTTCCAAGAATCCATTGGCTTTGGTATCATAGTTTAGTGCAAGAGATGAAAAGAGGTTCCAGTAGATTGAAGAATGACTAGACTAACAGTTCGAGAGTCATTCATAGGATGATGAGATGATGATGATAGGATGATGAGAGTCGCTCATAGGACTTTCAGCTGGGAGAAACCTGACTGGTGTCCATACAGTGGAAGAGAGTGATGACTGATAGACACAGATCCTTTGGTATATGGGGACAGGAACAGTGAGTCTGGAAGAGCAAGTGGCCTTACCCGGGAAAGAGGGTGGGTAGGTTTAGAGGAAGGAATGGGTATGCATCGTTGTCACTGTGACTCCTGCTTTCTGGACAGTGGAAGAGGCTATGGAAATTGTCTCAGGAGTGGAAGGGAGAAGGAAAGGAAGGGAAGGGAGAAACACAGAGACAGGTTTCCACAGCCCCTAAAGGAACGGAGGTGACTGGGGAAACAAAAGTCCTACCAAGAACAGTAGAAACCTTAGAAGATAGATGCACACAGGATTACTTGATCCAATTATATATGTAAAGTGTGAAACTTAGCAAGGGGAAATAAATCACTATCTGTAGAGACAGCAACTACTAATGTCTATTATTTGTGAATCTTTCTTACACCATAATTCATCCTATATACTTACTCTAGACACATCTAGTATCTTATTTTGAAATGTTTAGGTGCTTTATAATTTTTCATATATATATATATATGTAAAAGAGAGAGATGATCTTTATTGTAAAAGTAATGAACAGGGGGATTTCAGTTATATATATAACTAGGGTAATGACTACATTTCTTTTTCTTTTTCTTTCCTTTTTTTTTTGTCAGTAGAGGGGCCTGAACTCTGGGCCTGGGCGCTGTCCTTCAGCTCTCCAGCTCAAGGCTAGTGCTCTACCACTTGAGCCACAGCACCACTTCTGGTTTTCTGGTGGTTCATTGGAGATAAGAGTCTCACAGCCTTTCCTGCCCGGGCTGGCTTTGAACCGTGATTCTCAGATCTCAGCCTCCTAAGGAGCTAGGATTATAGACGTGAGCCACTGGCACCCAGCTGATACAAGTTTTTTAAACTTTTATAAATGATTTTCTTACATAATAGTAATATATGGTACTATTGCTATAATGTTTAAATAGTAATGTACTTTTTAGGAATTGCCAAAAAAAGTTATGTCTATCCATTAATTTTCTACTCAGAGGAAACAGTCATTAAGATATTATTTATACCAATTTATTCAGATATATGCATATATTCTATTTATATCTTAATATCAAATTGTATTTGGGGTTAAAAACTATGCATTCCAGCCCTTTCAAAACAACTAAAGTCAGGGGTTCAAACAGTTTTTTTGTATGCCGGTATTCACAGTAACATTATTTGTTCACAGTAGCCAAAAAGTGGACATGACCCAAATGCCCATCCACAGATGCATAGATGTACCATGTGATACACATAGATTGCAGAAGAAGAGCTGAAGCCAGACACTACTGGCTCATGCCTGTTATCCTAGCTATTCAGGTGGCTGAAAGCCAGCCTGAACTGAAAAGTCCAAGAAACTCTTTTATCTCCAATTAACCAGCAAAAAGCTGTAAGTAGAGGTGTGACTCAAGTAGTAGAGTGCCAGACTTGAGTGAAAAAGTTAAGGGATAGTGAGTGCCTAGGCCCTGAGTTTCAAGCCCTAAAATCTGTGAAGGACCGAACACACACACACACACACACACAATCTGATATATGCTATGACTTAGGTGCCTGTTAAAAACATCTATAAATAAGCTAATCACAAAAGGGCAAATATTTTCTAATTTCCTTTGTGTGTGGTATCTCACATAGACAAATTCATAGAGACAAAGTCTTCTGAGGGAGGTGGAGAGGAAAGGGGAGTTGTTATTTATTGGAATAGAGATGGAATTCTTATGGAAGGTGATAAACAAGTTTGCAATATTCATCAGTGGTGATGGTTAGTTACATAGCACTGTGAATATATTTATAGTGTCACTGAATTGAATACTTATGAATGGTTGCAATGATATATGTATTTTGCCAACAGCTAAGAAATGCATTAACACATCATAAGACAGTTGTATCTTGTTAATAGCACAAGTAAAGTCTGGCCACAGAATCACCAATGTGGTCTGGCTATGTGGGAATGTTTCCACTGCTGTCTCTAGTCAAACTGCTTATTGCCAGCTCTTTATAAGTGCCACCCTGCAGCAGGTGCTCCTACAGGAGAGAACTCTGAGAGCAAATGGCTCAAAACCATGGCCATAGGGCCATCAGAGAACCATGACTTTAATCATTGAAGACAGTTGTCAGGATGTACATAGGGAAAAAACAAAACTCAGAATACCAAAGATTTATTGTTCTTTGACATCAAGTCATAAATATCCAAAGAAGTAAAGAATGATTTCTGTCTGGAAGACACTGAGTATCCCACTGTTAAAGATAATGAAGTGATGTCTAGTTAACCAGTAGGAGGTAACTGGTTTGGGGGTGGTTAGATCACTTTAGTCTTGTAGCAGTTGGGGAGCTTCTCTCAGTAGACATGGCTTCAGGAGGAAGTCCTTACTGCTGACATTGGGGTCACAGGCCAGTGTAGTGGTCCACAGCTGGAGTCTTAAGAACCAGAAGTTGTGGCCCAGCCCTCCTTTCTGAAGAGACTCTTCAGTGTCATAGCATTTAGCCCTCAGAAAATGGTTGAGTATGGTGAATCACCAAATGACAAAGTAAAGCAGATTTTATGTGTAAATGGATGGGTGATTAGATGTAAATGTCTACATACTCTGTTCCCTTTTTGGCAGTTCATGAATTTGATATTTACAAATTGAAATATCAGTAGATGTTCTTTTGCCAGTAGTTAGGTTTCAAATGAAAATCTCTGGTCCTCCTCATTTTTGTGAGATTTAAAAGAAAAAGTGTGGTGCAAGTCCCAGCAAGGAACTGATGTGGTGTGGTGTGTTGCAGGTGTCCCGCGATGGAGGAGCAGCCTCCCCTGCCACTGAGGGCCGGGGAAGTAGTGAAGTGGAAGGAGGCAGGACAGCTCTGGACAACAAGACCTCTCTCCTCAACACCCAGCCTCCTCGAGCCTTCCCCGGACCACGTGCTCGGGACTACAACCCCTATCCCTACTCAGACACTATCAACACATATGACAAGACAGCCCTGAAGGAGGCAGTGTTTGATGATGACATGGAGCAGCTTCGTGATGGTTTGTCTCTACTTGATTGTCCTCTCCCAGAAGTGCCTTCCATGATCTTCCCACCCCCAGTCAGATGAGCCGTAGGTGCATTGGTCAAACATAAATAGGAACACTTGAGTCTGTTCTGGTTAGCCATTTGTTCAGAACAGTCTGTTGTATGCTTAAGCCTAGGCAGCCCCTAGCCCCACAGACCTGGCATCAGGGAGACCTCTCCTGAGTGGAGTAGTTGACCCAGGGGTGTAGCACGAGGGAGGGGCATCCTCTACTTCTCTTTTTCTTGTCTTGTTGGCTGTGGGGCTTGAACTCAGGGCCAAGGCACTGTCTCTGAGCTTTTTTTGCTCAAGACTAGTGCTCTACCACTTTGAGCCTCAACTCCACTTCCAACTTTCTGGTGATTAATTGGAATTATATGAAAGTCTCATTAACCTCTTGCACGGTAGGCCTTGAACTGTGACTCTCAGGCTTCGGTTTCCTGAGTAGCGAGGATTACAGGGGTGAGCCACTGGTGCCCAACTCCTCTACCTGTCTTAAAGACGCCAGCCTGTGCTTCCCTAGCTTCCTCATGAGGTCTTGCCTGAAGTCTCGCAGCAGCCTGTTAGCTAGGTTTTCCTGGACCATTCCAAGCTAACTTCAATACCGCGAGTGGGAAGAAAAAAAAACTGGCGTCATTGTTTACCTGACACTTTCTTGGTGCTCAGTTAAGAGTCCCCTCTCCATTATCTCACTGAGATAGAAGGAATTGGCCTCATTTTACAGATCAAGAAACTGAGTTTCAAAAAGGATAAATTATTTGCCCAAACTATAACATTGGTCTGGGCTTTCTCTGACTTACAGGTTAAGGTTAATATCTAGGGATTAGAAGTGAATGTAGCTCAGTGGTAGAGTAGCTAGCTTAACTAGTTTGAGGCCTTAGGTTCAACCTCCAGCACCATTAAAAAAAAAAAAAGTGTGCATTATTAAGTATCCAGTGTGTAATTTTGTACTGGCCTGATGGTATTTTATCTGAAACTTTTTTCTCTCTTTTCACTTAGCTTGTCATGTTTACTTGCCTTGTTTTATTTCAAGTTTCTAGTGAAACAAAGCCTGCTTTGTTTCCAAGCCTATTGTTTTGTTTTTCAAGCTTGAATAATGCACTGAATTAGAACTCTAAACAATTCACATCCAGGAGGAAATGAGACACAGTCCCTGGTCCCATACTTGTTGGATAACATACTCATAAGGAAGACACTAGGGTCAGCACTGAGCTTCAAAAGGGACTACTCATGTGGAATGCTGAGGAGGAAGAGCAGTCCTCCAGTTATCCAAAGCAGAAGTGACCAGGGCTTTGCCAACATAATCCCCTGGTGCATAGCAGCTCCACATATGCCTAGACATCTTGTTCCTATGCAGAAGCAAGACGTAGACCATTTTGTTCACTTTGCTTATGGAATTAGTACCTCATTTACTTACCCAATTATTGATCTTGATTAAGGTCAAATAAAGTTTAGAGTGTCAGTTACAATTTATCCACCAAGTATGTACTAAAAGGCTTAAGGAGAAAAGCGGGAAGGCAGGGGCAAATGGCAGGGCTCTGACATTTCCAACTTCCTGGTATGTTTACTCCCTAATCTCAGAAACTAAAGAAATACATGATTGCATGATTGCACTTACTTATCTCATTTGTGTTTCATCCCTTCTGTTTAAAGTCACATATTCAGTCCAGGTCTTATGTGAACTTAGAGAAACAAAGTGTCTTCCTGCTGCTCAAATATGGATCAAAGTCCCTGCTAGTAGTGATGCTAAGTGATCTTGGACACGTTTTCCAGTTTCATCCCTGAATAATTCACACACCTTTACTGGTGCTTGTTCCCTCTGCCAGATCATAAGCTTGGTCATCAGAACAGGGCTTAAAAGTCAGAGGTGATAGTGAAGGGCTGTGAGCAAATGTGCTCACTGGAATGGGACTGATACTAGAGTTAGTCTTTGTTACTGAGGCCTGCCATAGAAAGTTTGGGAAAAGATGGCCATAAAGGGCTTTTCTGGAGGACACCTGTGTTCTGCTAAGGCCTAGTGCTAGACTGTGACAATGGAAAAAGGTTGGATAAAAAGTCAGGGAGGGCTTTTGGAGGGCACCTACAAATCTCTCCTCTTTGTCTGAAATAGAAAGGTAAAGATGGTAGGAACAAGCACAGCACAGAATACCAGTGCTTGACAGCTGGTCTGATTCTCTGTTTCCACACTGACTTGGTGTGAGGAGTTCTGCTGGGTGTTGGCTGGAGCCGGGGAGCAGGGGGCGTGGAATGGCAGGTGCAAGAGCTGTGTGAATGCTGTTTCCTTGTGAGGTGATGTCTCGTATGTCTCACCAGTGCCCATCGATCACTCTGATCTGGTGGCTGACCTGCTGAAAGAGCTGTCTAACCACAATGAACGGGTGGAGGAGCGGAAAGGTGCCCTGCTGGAGCTGCTCAAGATCACACGAGAGGACAGCCTGGGCGTCTGGGAGGAGCACTTCAAGACCATCCTGCTGCTGCTCCTGGAGACACTTGGGGACAAAGACGTAGGCACTGGCTGGGTCTAGAATGACCCCTTTCCATAGAGCGGGTTCTTTCTGGTTGGGGTTAGCTTCAACTTTGCTTTGTGGATTACACTTGCGGCTCACATCAAAAAACATGTATTTGTTCAGTTTCCACAGCGTCTCTGAGCACCTATTAGGTATTGTTTCTCAGTGACTGGCTGTGTGCTAGCCTACGTGCAAGATCTCTGCAATTAGGTCCGTGGTAGTTGAGGGAAACTGCTTCTTGCATCCAGGGATTTTAATACAGAATTTCTTAGAATTTCATTAGCTTTCTAATGTAGCCTATTAGCATACACGTTCTTCAATTTCACCTTTGTTTCATATGAGGTTGAGAAATCAAGTTTATTTTCTTAAAGGCCTTATTAAATGTTGCAGTCCATGGAAGTCCATCCTGGTTCACCCCTATGTGTGTTAACAGATCCAGTAATCCTAATTGCTGGACAAGTGACAAGTGCCACCAGTGTAACTCATGTAATAGTAACTTTAAAATAAAATACTCCTCATGCTTGGACATTTGACTGTGACACAAGTCCATGTCATATACATGTACACTTAGGTATCTCTTAAATGGAGAATGAACTAGTCAAAGTCCTGCCTTCTCTCTCCTGTAGAACTGGTTCCTTGTATAGAAGGAACCTGGAATAAAACTTGGGAATTACAGAATTAAAATTTTAAAGTAATAATCCTTCTCTCCACATTTACTTTGCCTGGGCTGGTAGAAACAATAATAAAGTGTACATGGTGAAGAGCTAGAAGGCTTGGACTTGAAGGAGAGCCAGGAAACTAAACACAGTGCACAGGAACAGGCCAGCCCGAGGGACACAGTGGTAGTGACTCCCAAGGCAGGTGGGGAAAGAGAGGGCAGTGAATGCCATGGTAACTGGAATTGTTTCCTGATATTTAGGATTAAGGGTTTGGTTTAGGGATAAGTAAAGACAGAAGAATAGCAATAAAAGATCTGTATTAACTTTTCCTAAAACAAAGTACTGGCTATGGAAGCAGTTACACTTGGCTGGGCTCTATGGGGAGATAAATGATGTCACTCACAGGGCAGGTGAGTCCTGTATTAGTGTGCACATTGTACAGATGAGTGACAAAGAATCAGGATATACTTCTTGGCTCTGTTTAGTGTAAACTCCACTATCTTTTCTTGAGATTAGGAGTCTGTTTGGCATGGCTTTCCTCCAGGCACATGACTTGGGCCTTAAACAACTCAAACCCTGTCACATCTGTGATCTCATCACAAAGATCGGGTATAGCCACAGGTCACCAGCTGTCCTCAGTTGTGGCCTTGCAAGCCAGGTCCATGAAATTGTTGGATGGTTGCAACTTGTCCTTGAGTGTATTTAACACAGGATAACTTGTTATACGTAAGCCTCAGGACATCTACAATCCCATGAGACTGATAATGAACTTAGGTACATCCTGCTCACAAGTATTAGGCACATGCAAGAAGCTTTTGTGGGTCCCTCCTAGGTCCTGGGTCCTGAGAATGTAACCATCAATCAGAGCACTTGCTCCCTTTGGATCTGGCTATCCAGAGAGCCTGTGATCTATGTAGAGGGCTTTGTGATGTGTCAGGGGACTCAGAATCGGGTGCCATGGCCTTGGGGACCCACTAACCAGTACATGTGACTATGTTCTGTTTATTGTTTAGTAAGGCTTCCTTTTCTTTTATATCTAGCATTCAATTCGAGCACTGGCACTGAGAGTTTTACGGGAAATTCTTAGAAACCAGCCAGCAAGATTTAAAAACTATGCGGAACTGACGATCATGAAGACGCTAGAAGCCCACAAAGACTCTCACAAGGAGGTAAGCCAGTCCTGTGACAAAGCTGTTAACCATGTGGGGCCAGGAACAGCTAAGCATGGAGAGGGACTGGGAAACAGTACTCAAGCTTCAAAAAAAAACAAAAAAAGTCTCTTAAGCTGGGAGCTAATGGTTCATTCCTATATCCCAGTTACTCAGAAGACTGAGCCTGATCTGAAGGATTGGGTTTGAAGCAAGTCCAGTCTGAAAAGTCCATGAGATTCCATCTCCAACTGAATGGGGGGGCGGGAGGAGACACACACTAGAATTGTGGTTCTCAAGTGGTAAGAGCACCAGTCGAGCAAGCAGGCTAAGCAAGCAAGCCAAGCAAGATAAGGCCCTGAGTTTTAACCCTGGTACTGGGAAAAAAGGGTCTTCCTTTGAACTCAGCCTGTGTTGTACAGAGTGAAATTCCTGTTGCTGACAGCTGGGCTGAGTAGCTACACATTTAAAATGCCAGCATCCCTGTGGTTCCCAGGCCCCAGCACTTCAGCCTGCACTTGGAGGAACAGGCAGAATGTGCCTCTTGACTTGTCAAGGAGGGAAGGTGGGTCCTTGGTGTCACTGGCTAATTGCTTGTGACTTGATTTACCCCTGTGGCTCCCAAGTCCTTGAAGTGGCTAGAGGCCTACAGAGAGTGGGAAGCTATCTTCCAGGTGTGAGTTCCATAACACCCTCCAGGAATAGATACTGTGGGAACAGAATCTCAAATTTAAGACTTTAGAAAACTTCAGATGACAAACAGTAGTTGAGTTACAACCACTGGTTCAGCTCAACCTCTTGGCTCCAGAGTAACTGTTGGGAACCTGGCTGTGGATTAGGGGATTTGGGGTTAGAGTAGTTCTTATCTACAAAAAAAAAAAAAATGAGACCCTAGGGGTAGTTTTTCTCTTGGTAGTTGTCTAGCTGCATGAACAGTGACTACTTTGACCTTAGAAGTGTAGCTCAGCAAAGGCCGGGCTCCTCCCCCTGCTGGGCATCTCTTCACCTGCCAGCCATAGCACAGCACAGGGTACATAGGTGGAAATGTGCTTTCCCACTAGTTACTTATGTTTCTAAAACCTGGGTTGGTTGCATGATGTTTGAATAAAACACTTTCTATTTATAATAACTCACCTGAAAATGTAAGGCCTGGATAGACTACTAAGATGAAGGAGAGTTCCCAGGGTGCCTGCCCATTCATTAACTGGTAGAACAAAGATATATATACATATATATATATACATATATATATATATATAATATACATATATGTGTATATAATATATATACGATATATATTATATGCATAAGATAAGATATATATCAGGTATATATGCGATAAAGGACAGCTAGGGCAGGAAATGTGGCTTAGTGGTAGAGTACTTACCTAGTATGCATGAAGCCCTGGGTTAGATACCTTAGTACCACATAAACAAAGAGCCAGAAGTGGCACTGTGGCCTAAGTGGTAGAGTGCTGCCTTGAGCAAAGAAGCTAAGGGACAGTGCCCAGGCCTGGAGTTTGAGCCCCAGGACTGGGGAAAATAAATAAATAAATAAATCGGTAGATAAATATAGGCTTGCTGAAGCCTGTGGTGGCTTTTTTAAAAACTATAACATCTTTTCTTAATGAGATTTCATGATCATATATTGAAGTGAAATTGATGATCTTTTATCTCTAGATGAAAAAGGTTGTTAATTGTGCTTCAAATGGGAGAATAAGGTAAAACCTATTCAGCGGTGGTATTTTCTGACCATCCAGCTAGAAGGCGTCCATCTTTAAATTGGGTATCCCCAATCTTGAATGCTTTGATAGTAGACTCTCAGAAATACAAGTGAATAGAAATAAGTTGTCTGTTGGCCATCTACTGTTTCCTTGGGGCGTTTTGGGTTCTCTCTGCAAGATAAGAAATTAAAGAGAGGACATCCTTTAGCAAGAAGTTCTCTTAAATTTCCCAAGGGAGGAAGAGAGTAGGCAGTCTACCTCAGGTAGTTAACCTGAAACTAGTTAGCAGCAGTCAGTTATCCTGAAATTCCTGTAACCCAAGGACACCCTCACAGCTGTCACTGGTGACCTGACACAGCCAGTGGAGGGACATTGTGCCCTGAAAGGCACTGTGTTGGCAGGCCTGACTGCTTTGCTTTTTTTTTTAGCACACTTTGACTCTGATTCTTCTTCCTCATGCAACTTCATGCTGTCACATTGACATTGCCAGAAGCTGCTCAGATACCTCGATAGTTAGATTTTAGGTTTGTTTTTCATCTTTCTTTTCAAGTTCTTTGAGTCTTTCTTTTATTCTAACCAATCTGTCTCCATTCCTGGTTTCTGCTTTCTAGGGCAGATTAGTTGTATACGTAGAGAATTTGTGTGGTGGCTGTCTTGTTATTGGTATATAATATTGAACATTATTTCTCTCTAGTCTCATGATATTTTTCTCATCATGACCTCGTAGACCTCGGTCTGAATGGAACCATCATATTTTCACAACCAGTTTCTCTATCAGAGGTAGTCTGTTTTCAAAGACATAATCTGTTTTTCTGGTCTGGTCACTACTTCCAAAATGTGTTCATCCCAGGGTGTGGCTCAACTCTGGGTGAAGATTCCTTCTTAGAAGAAGTGAGGAGGTCTCATCAGGAGATGAGACTATTTCACCAGCCACCCTCTCCTGCCAGCACACTACCACACACCATGGTACTGGCTAGGGAACTGCAGCAACCCAGAACAGCTTGTAGACCGTTTCTGGAAACTGAAATGTGCCATAAAGGTATTAATCAAGATGGATAAAGCCGGGCACTGGTGGCTCACGCCTGTAATCCTAGCTACTCAGGAGGCTGAGATCTGAGGATCGCGGTTCAAAGCCAGTCCAGGCAGGAGAGACCGTGAGACTCCTATCTCCAATAAACCGCCAGAAAACCAGAAGTGGCGCTGTAGCTCAAGTGGTAGAGCGCTCGCCTTGAGCTGAAGAGCTGAGGGACAGCGCCCAGGCCCAGAATTCAAGCCCCACGACCGACAAAAAAAAAAAAAAAAAAGCTGGATAAACAAGGCTGATTATAATTTTAAGGTGGCTTGTTTTCTCATCTTCTAAGCTAGGGTTGGTTTTCTCAGCTGCACATGTTGAATGTTCTTTCTCCGGCATTGGTGTCTCAAGCACTAAATCCACCTGAGAGCCATTGGTCCTAAGGCAGAGGAGATGCTTTGCAGGGAGCGTGACTGATGGGGGATTTGGAAATCAATGTAGAGCTCTAGTTTTAAACTTTTTTTTTTTTTTTTTTTTTTTTTTTTTTTTTTGTCGGTCATGGGGCTTGAACTCTGGGCCTGGGCGCTGTCCCTCAGCTCTTCAGCTCAAGGCGAGCGCTCTACCACTTGAGCTACAGCGCCACTTCCAGTTTTCTGGTGGTTTATTGGAGATAGGAGTCTCACGGTCTCTCCTGCCCGGGCTGGCTTTGAACCGCGATCCTCAGATCTCAGCCTCCTGAGTAGCTAGGATTACAGGCGTGAGCCACACCAGCGCCCGTCTAGTTTTAAACATTTGAGTAAAGTCCTTCTGTCTTTTTAGTAGATAAACATTGCTATTGAGTTTTAGTACATGTAACATTAATGAAGTTTCTGTGGTTTGTAGCGGTGTTAGGTGTTAACACAGCAAACACATTAAAGTGTGGTGAGTCCTTATAACCTTGAGCCCACTTTCTTTTTTTTAAAGGTAACTTCATTCATTTGAACTCTTCTCCATTGGGCATTTGTAGTCTTTGTTGGGGCTGGAACAGAATCACTCATTTGATTAGAAAGAAGAGAAAATTTTTAGTAGGAGAATTGGTATTTATGAGGAGATTCTGGGGCAGTGTAAACTATAGATCTAGAGACAGAAAACCTAGACACTAGCCTGAAATCTGATTTGATTCTCCTCTGTTATCCATGTTCAGTACCTTTATATGACCCTAAAGAAGGACTACATGAGAGTAGTCATGCTTTGGTAGAATTTTTTTTTCTGTGTATGCTAGTAATATGGCTTGAACCCAGGGTCGGAGCACTATTCCTTAGCTTTTTTACACAAGGCTGGCACTCTACCACTTGAGCTCTAGCTTTACTTCTAAATTTTGGGTGGTTAATTGGAAATAAGAGTCTCATGGACTCTTCTGCCTGGGCTGGCTATGATCCTCACATCCCAGCCTTCTGAGTAGCTAGGAATTACATGTGTGAACCACCAGTTCTTGGTTTTGTTTTTTTTTAAGTCTTATTGTGTAGCTCAGGTTGGCCTTGAACTCCTGATCCTTCCTATCTCAGCTTCCCAAGAGCTGAGAATATAGGCATGTGCCACTGTACCCGGCTCCAGCTCAATTAATTTCTTGAAGATATTCCATAGTAAACATTTGATCATCAGATTTAGGGGGTTTTGGTGGGTTTGGGGGGAGGGGTTGCTTTTTTGTTTGCTGGTTTGTTTGTTTGTTTTGCCAGTCATGGGGCTTGAACTTAGGGTCTGGACACTGTCCCTGAGCTTCTTTTGCTCAAGGCTAACACTCTGCCACTTGAGCCACAGCACCACTTCCAGCTTTTTCTGTTTATATTATACTGAGGAATCGTACCCATCATGCATGCTAGGCCACATTCCCAGCCCCAGACTTAGTTTTTATGAATGTTCCCATGTTAGCAAATATTTAGTTACATTTGCCCACTGAAAGAGGAAAAGGTCACCTAACTGTAGTGGCACACCCCTCTCCAGTAGATCCCAGCTACTTGAGAGGCTGAGGCAGCTTTGAGCCCTGGACTTTAGGCCCAATCTGGGTGACATGGTTAATACCCTGCCTCTTGTTAGCATCAATTCATGACCTTATATTGTCACCAAACATTTGTCACACACTATGAATGTTGGTGCTTTTGGCATCAGAATCAAGCTTCAGGTTGCATGGCATGTTTGGGGAAATTGGATTCTCAAATAAAAATTAACTATTCTCTCTCTAGGGATTTGGAGGCGGGGGCATGCACATGTACACACCAGTCCTGGAGCTTGAACTCAGGGCTTGGGTAC